CCCAATGCCCTTTGCTCAAAAGTTTAGTGAAGCAGAATGAAGTGACGATAATTGCGTGCACTGAATCAAGTGGTCTTTCTTCAAGATGACAAAACAAGTGGACGGGGGCATGGCCACACCGGTCCTTAATTAGGAGCCTGAGTCCTAACAGATGTAGCCGTCAGAATTATCGCTACAACAGTTGAAGACGAGGCATGCTAACAGGTGTGTGTCTGCGGCATCACACATGTTGTGTGGATGGTCGTCAAATCTCTCCTTGGTGCGTGGAGACGTCACAGGTGAGATTCCCGAGTGCTCCTAGACCCCACTCATGCATGCCTACCATGTTGCAGGTTACGAACACCATCTCAATGTCTAAAAGAGTGTAGAGGAGGCATTAATGGAATTCGCAATGTGAAAACATGCATGCACACACATGTAGTTTGTGTATATGTGCGTACATGCCTAGTACATGCCTCGTGTGCACATGTGTATCATGTGCACATGTAGGTGTGTGCGTGTGTTATATGTACATGCATAATTTATTTTATGTTAATGTTCATGACTGATTTGTGAATGCAAGATGTTCTCCATGTGAAAACATGTATGCATGCATGCCTTATTGTGTGTACATGCATAATGCATGTATCATCTGTACACATGCATATATCATATGCATGTGTGTACATGTATGCATCATAGATGCATGTATAATTTATATTAATATTCATGACTGATTTGTGAATCCAAGATGTTCTCCATGTGAAAACAGGCATGTACATACCTTATTTATGTGTACACACATAATCTGTGTATCATTTGTGCACATGCATGTATCATGTGTGTACATGTATATAGTGTAGATGCACATATAATTTATTTCATATTAATATTCATGACTGATTTGTGAGACCAAGATGTTCTCCATGTGAAAACATGTATGCACATATATCTTATGTATATGTATGTACATGCATAATACATATGTGTGTACACATGTATCATACATGTGTGTATGTGTACATGCATGTGTTGTATGTGTATGCATAATTTATTTTCTATTAATATTCATGATTGATTTGTAAATCCAAGGTGTTCTCCATGTGAAAACATATATGCACATATATCTTATTTATGTGTGTACACACATAATACACATGTCTTCTGTCCACACACATGGATCATACATATGTATATATGCATGTGTTATATATGAATACATAATTTATTTTATATTAATATTCATGATTGATTTGTAAATCCAAGATGTTCTCCATGTGAAAACATATATGCACATACATCTTATTTATGTGTGTACACACAATACACGTGTCATCTGTGCACACACGTATCATGCACATGTGTGTACATGCATATATTCTACATGAATGCATAATTTATATTAATATTCATGACTGATTTGTGAATCCAAGATGTTCTTCACGAATGGCCCTGACGCCCTCCAAAGAATCATGCCATGTCCTCAGGCATGGATGGGGAAACTCATGGTATACAGTCAAAGAAGAAATATGTTTGGCTTTCCCGGCCCTGTGCTCTGGGACAGTCATTGGATTTGGGCCCAGCAGGTGTACAAGAGCCACAGACAATAAATAAATAAATGTCACGGTGTGGACTGGGTTCCAATAGAAATTTATAGAAACAGGTGACTTGCCCACAAGTTATAGCTGACTCACCTTGTGCCTGCATATGTTTCAAGGTCATTTACTCAAAAGTTGAGTTTATTGATGTCCTCCAGAGAAGAACAAAATTAACTTGGGCATAAATAACTCATAAATAGTGTAAAAGAATCTACGTAACTAGATACAATTGCCCCTTTATTCTACTCTGAACTATATATTTCGGCAGAAAAGCAGCATTAAATTGGGGGAGAAAGCAACAAGTACTGTGTTGGTGCAAAGGAAACATTATGGGTTTGGAAAGTAGTTCAAAGGAAAAGGATCAAGGAGAACCAAAACCAAAGTATTTATATTTATCTCATGTATTAGATATTATATTTTACATATCACATATTTATATGACATAGTCATATAACATTGCATATATTATATTTACATTATATTTATGTAAGTTTTATATCATTATATTTAAATCTATATACCAGTCCCTTTACCAAATGGACTGACAGAACTCCTCTGTGTCCATCTGAATCACAAAACGTTTAATAGAAGATCTACTGGCATAATGAGCTCAGAACTAGAGTATAAACAAACTATCTCAACATTCAAATTTATTCTTAGCCCCTACACTAGTCCTCATCATAAGGATTTGTGATGTACTCATAAATTCAGTTCCATATAATCCTGAAATCCCTATTCATGGTTCATCTCTGCATCTCTTTTTTTTTTTTTTTGTTTAAGATTTTTATTTATTTGTCAGAGAGAGAGCACGAGCAGGGGGAGCAGCAGAGGAGGAAGCAGGCTCCCCACTGAGCAAGGAGCCCAATGAAGGGCTTGATCCCAGGATCCCACGATCGTGACCTGAGCCGAAAGCAGATGCTTAATCCACTGAGGCACCCTGGCATCTCTCTGCATCCCTTCACTTAAAAATGAAAATTAGGACTCCAGGACAGGATGGAAGGAATTTCCCTTGGTCATCATCAGTTTTGAACCGAACTAATAAGCCATCTTGGGAATAAAATCGAGGAATTTCGAAAGCCATCCCAGACACCTATGAAAATCCACTGCAAAGAGTCTCCTTTCACAGATGTTACCAAAGCAGACAATGCTCAGGCAACATTGCATAGAAAATGATTCAAGGGGCAAATGTTGAAATTTTCAAGTACCAGAGAGGCTTCCTGAATGTTTTTCCTAGGAAGCTCGTTTGTATCATTTATAATCACAGATGCCCCCCGGTGAAAGGGGAATGGATGCCTGTCTCTCTGTTCTCTACATCTCTCAGCAGCCTGGTCATCAAGAAGGAGCTACTTAGCAGCAGACCTAGATCAAGGCATCGTCGTCCCATGCACCTGTCAGCCCCCCTTGTGAATGACAGTGACTGCAAACGAAGACCCACAGAGCTCTCACTTCTCATGGACACATGTTGGGAATGCCTGAGCAGGAAAACTCCATCATAAGTTTTGCATCTAGCCGTGCCATTGTCAGGATATAACACAGGAAGTTCCAGGCGGGGATCACCCCTCATCAAGTGTGAGCGCCAAGTACACCCTGATTCAGACGGGCTCCAATTTGGAATCAGCCCTCATCAAGGTCATCCCAAAGTGTAAGAACCACCAAGCACACCCTGATTCAGATGGGCACTTACACGTGCGCACACACACACACACACAGGTCGATAACTCCTGGTGCTTTCAAATGCAGATTGAGCCCAAGTGCCCATGGCCAAAACCCAAAAGGCCTTTCAAGATACAGAAGTCCTCATTCTGCTCTCCCGATGGTGCAATTTATATAATGTTCCCTCTGGGTTTCATTACGTGAGCTGTCACATTATGAGCTGTGACCGGTCCACAGCTCAGAGCGTGATGCCAGACCTATTACCACGGCTTCTCCTTGGAAGCGGGACAGCCTGATTGTATTAAGCAGAGTGCTCCTAGCACAGCGGCTACCAGAACAATTATGACCAAGCCGCATCGGGCTGCCATTCCAACATGGGACAGTGTGAGAAGGAAGACAAAGCATTCCAAGACTTCATGCCGCCCTGAAATAGCAATATTCCTCCAGACTGAAAAATGGAAATAAAAACAGGCAGGGGGAAATTAAAAAAAAAATAAAAGGGGGAGGCTTTTTTTTTTTTTTAAGAAAGCTGCACAATTCATAAGACAAAGGAATTTACATAATGTGCTGTTAATGATGATTTAGGTGTATGTACTGATGAGAAATGTCTCTGTATGTTGAATGTCTTTGGTAAAATAACCTACACAAGCTCAAAATAGAAATCATTTTCCCATCTATAATCATCTTCCAAATTTGCATGTTGATAACAAAAAGGGGACAGCGTGAGTCTTTGTTAATTAAAAATAATCTTTGAAAAAAAAAAAACAGCACTTTTTCTTATAGCAGGAAATGGGGGAGGAGTTTGGAGATCCAGTTTCTTGGAAACAAGGGTTTCATATAAAAAACACGACCTTGACAATCTTGTAGAATTCAGAAATCCTACAGAAGTTTGTTACCGACATAGGAAAGATATGAAATTTCGTGGTCATGTCTAAGGAAGATGAAAGCCGATTGTGGTCTCAATGGTGGAAAATGTTTGGAAGCTTGGTACACAGATGGATGAGAAAAATGGTATATAATGGATATATGAATGATATAATCATAAATACTTTCTCAGCAGGGCTTGAATTGACAGCTGAGCCATGAAAAGATCTAACCATTCACCTGAAACATATTAAAACACATCCTTTCTCATATCTAAGCATGGGAAGGGACAGGTCCAGATTTCAAAGTGTGCAATGATTCCATGAACAAGTGCTCAGAACCAGAGATCACAAAAGTATTCTACCCATGTTCCCTTCCTTGGGATCTGCTCTATTCCTGTTCTCCAGATAGAGAGAAAGATCCCATGGTCTCAGTGGGCCCGTGGCCTGCATTAGAACCACACCTCTGACATTGTGGATCCCCTTCTCAAGGGGCCACTGCCATTCAAATGCCCTCATAGCTTGGGATGCTCTCTCTAGAAGAGAGTGGGTGTTCAGTGTCCCATGGGCTTGAGGGTCAATTTTGGAATGGTTTATACAGGTGATCAGAAAGCTGAGCCTCTCATTTGCATACACTTAATTAATAAGATATAGTCAGCCTTGTAGCTATTTGAAGGAACAAGCAATTATTACAAAATCCTCAATTTCCAATGCATGCCCTTAATGCACTCCAAACGAGCTTCAAATCACCGCTTTGCACTTTGGATCATTTCCAATAGATTGTGAGAAAGAAAACTATTTTTACTACAAAAGTAGTCAGAAAGCATTGCTACATTTGGTTTACCCAGGCTACAAATGCCTCAATAATGTAAGTAGGCAGAAGTCAACGATCACTTTTGATACTCACCATTACATTGTCCTTCTGAGAAGATACCTTTAAAAATGCCTCCATGGACATATAGTTGCCGTCTTTTCCATCTCAACACATCCGTTCCTATTAAGATAAAAACGACAAGGAGACATTGGTGCACTCAATAAAAGAGATTGGTGAGCCCACTTCGAAGCCAATGTTCTATTGCTCACATAACCTTTCTTATGGGTTGTTATGGGAACCAGCTGGTAATGGCAGAAAGGGATTCTTAACTGGGGTCTTCCTTGGTCTAGGTGCTCATTGTGACAGGATACCTGCACAGGGGTGGCTAACTGTAGAAGCCACAACCCGCCATGCTGGTCATCACGTGACATGACGATTTTTACAATCAATGGAGACAGATTAAGAATTCCAGTCTCCTCTGCATTCATTCCAGCTCTGTTCCACGTTTCTTGATGATGACAATCAATTTAGCGCATGTCTACGTGCAATCTAGCTTATTTAAGAGTTTTAAATCCTTGCGAAACGCAATTGGCCAAGAGAGCCCATCTGTGTTCTAGAAATCGTTTATTTGGAAGAAGTAAGCCTGAGTCTGTAGACATCGTTCTTTCCCCTACAGCAATGGGTCAGGATGGGAAGACGTAACACTGGGCTCTTTCCTGGCTGCACTGTGAGAAAACTCGCTTTCCCTGCAGCAGTAATCATCCCAGGATCGTCGAGCATTCTTCTTGTCATCTCAACATGGAATCTTCTGTCTAGAGGGTGACTCTCACACGACGCTGCCCCTTCTACTTACAAGTGACGATCACAACAAGGCAAGTGGGTCCTTGTGAGCTATTTGACAGAATACCAGCTTGCCACGGACACCATTTCAGAGCGCTAGGAAGGAGAGGGAGCGGAAAGAGAGACTACCTCATTTAATGCACTTCTCACGCTACCTCAATGCTTGAGGAGTCTTAGGACCAAGTAGATGAGGTCTTTGGGTTTCAAAGCTAACGAGCTAGCACATTATTAAACTGTTGGAAGGCAGGGTCCTATTTTAAGGATGCTTTGATTACTCATAACAACTAGCACAATTACTTATTACTAGGTGTTTCAGGAACAGTGTTGATTAAATATATTTTTGAAAATGAATTCGTACGTCACAACAATCACAATGGCATTCACCATCGCTGACCCTTCTATAACCGTGCTGGGTGGCTATCAGAACACCTTTTTTATAGTTGGAAAACCAGTGTTCACACGCTAAGTCACGTGGCTCATAGGCTTTGTGGCAGAGGGAGGCAGAGCTGAGTTTCCCTGTAAGTCCACGACCACACACTTGACCAAATCGAGCTGCCTCATCACTAAATGAACGATCATAGCGAACATGTACGTAGTGGGTCAACATTTCACACATCATCTTCTCAAGAAGCATAGAAGGTAGGGAAGAGTATTATCACCATGAGCTGAAAAGGGGGAACCAGAAGGATATTAGGCAATGAGCCCAAGAGCACAGAGATGCAAACGGAGGGATAGACTCACACGAGGTACTCTGCTACCCAGGCTCAGGTGGGACAATGAACATCTTTTCTGTCCCACATCCTCAGCCCCCACACTGTGGGAATCTACAGCTGGGATGGTTTTCACCCACAAAATGGGCTATTTGATATCCACAGCAATGACAAACTCATAGTGCATGAGTGATGTAGGCAGTAGACGCTCACTGAATACCAGCTATCCCCACACTGTATCATTAATAGTTGAAAACTGGCCCTATTTCTATTTCACCTGATCACAGGTAACTCTTGGCTCCCACCCATAAACAAATATTAAATACACAACTACAAAGTTAACTATATATGTGGTTCAGGAAAGTTCTAGAAACATTAGTATGAATTATGTCTGACTGGTCAAATTTTTTCTTTCTTGTGATGGGGTGAGAGAAATGGTCCTTAATTATTATCTTAAGGTTGAGTTTTTGTTGGTTTCTTGCCTTATTTTGTTTGTTATTTTTTTTTAAGGTATGCAAGTAGGATGGAATGATTAGTCATATCAACATGTGTTTTATTTTAAAATCTGATATTATTGGGGCACCTGGGTGGCTCAGTGGGTTGAAGCCTCTGCCTTTGGCTCAGGTCATGGTCCTGGGGTCCTGGGATCGAGCCCCACATCGGGCTCTCTGCTCAGCAGGGAGCCTGCTTCCTCCTCTCTCTCTGCCTGCCTCTCTGTCTACTTGGGATCTCTGTCTGTCAAGTAAATAAATAAAATCTTTAAAAATAATAATAATAATAAAATAAAATAAAATAAAATAAAATAAAATCTGATATTACTAAAATCTGATAGAACAAAATCAATAGTCCCATCCCATGGTCATCTAGTTGAGCGGAAGTCTCTGGAAGGAACTCTGTTCATCTGTATACCATAATACCAACTGGTATTCGAAGCAGGTACACCCTACATCAGGAATGCTTCTACGTGTCCTGCTTCCCCAGTCCCATCATCTCCCCCACCTCTCTTAATGGAGCCTACCCACCCCCAATCTTATTGTATTATGTCTCCTGTTGTTCAAGGCTAAATACATTCCAAATATTTTTAGTTTCTTCATCAAGGATAACCCTTTAGGTGTGAACTCACAACGTAGCATTCTCCCAAACTGGTTTTTGTGTGAGAAACTGCCCAACACTGAGGAGTCTGACACAGAGATGGGCCCATTAGGATATCCATCCAAGTTACTGCCACTTTGGGACTAACCATTGAAAATCAAGGAAGGATACAAATCACCAACATGCCCCCATGCAAATACGCCATTTTTCTCATGTGTTTTTGGCTTCATGATTCACCATGGGACATGTTGTGGGTAGCCTTACTTTGTGTATTTGAAGCTATATTATAAGATATAGTCATGTGTCAAATGTTAAAGAAGGTTAAAGAATAAACTCTCTAGATTAAAATACTACTTTTTTTAAGATAAAAATACTTCTTGGTGTTGGTGAGGATGCAGAGAAAGGTGAACCCTCCTACACTGTTGGTAGGAATGCAAGCTGGTGCAGACACTCTGGAAAACATCAGAGAGGTTCCTCAAAAAATTGAAAATAGAGCTACCCTACGACCCAGCAATTGACTATTGGGTATTTACCCTAAAGATACAAATGTAGTGATCTGAAGGGAAATGTGTACCCCAATGTTTACAGCAGCAACATCCACTATAGCCAAACTATGGAAAGAACCTAGATGTCCATCCACAGATGAATGGATTAAGAAGATGTGGGATGGAGATATATATATATATATTAGAATACTATGCAGCCATCAAAAATGAAATGAAATTTTGACATTTGCAAAGACATGGTTGGAACTAGAGGGTATTATGCTGAGCGAAATAAGTCAATAAGAGAAAGAGAACTACCATATGATCTCTCTGGATATGAGGAATTTGAGAGGCAGGGCAGGGGGTCACGACAGGTAGGGAGAGAAATATGAAACAAGATGGAGCTGGGGAGGGAGACAAACCATAAGAGACTTAATCTCACAAAACACACTGAGGGTTGCTGGGAGTGAGGGGGTAGGGATAGGACGGCTGGGTTATGGACATTGGAGAGGGTATGTGCTATGGTGATTGCTGTGAAGTGTGTAAACCTGACGATTCACAGACCTGTACTCTGGGGCTAATAATACATTATATGCTAATTTTAAAAAACCTGTAATATTTGGGGAAAACGTATTAATAAAATATGTTTTGGGGATGCAATAATTGACTATGAAAAAAAATACTTCTTGATTTTACTATTACATTTGGACTGCATGGCCTATATCTAAGGCCTTAAAAGACAGAGAAACATGACTACGAATTGCTGATTATTTTGGAAGTCACATTACACTTTATAATCCAAGGTTTGACACAGAAACTATACCCTATCACGTACTTACATTTGTAATGACTTACTCTGTACTTAATATTTATTCATTGATATAGAAAAGAATCCTTTTTTTTAAAGTTTTGTGGGTTTTTTCATTTTTTTGGTTTTTTTTAGTCATGTCTGCACCGAACATAGGACTTGAACCTACAACCCCAGGATTGAGAGTCGCATAGCCTAGCAACTGAGCCCTAATTAAAGCAATATTTATGAGTCACTAATATATTAACAATATTATAGCTCATTAATATATTAGCAAATGTTGCCATAACATTATCATTTCATTTCAACAGAATCTTAGCCGGTAGACGATACCTTCGTCAAAGCATACAGACCTTTTGAGGAACAGGAGGCGTGGAATGGAGAATGACGAGCTCCACACTAAGACAATGCTTCAAGGAAACCTCTCCATACGCTTTCATCTTTACAACTGAAGACACGGGGCTTCGTGAAGACGTTCATAGCCATTCCCATTCACCCTGGGTAGTAGGTCAAGGGGATACCTAGAATACAAGAGAGAAAGATATAAATGCCTTCCTAAAAGATGGCATTCGTGGGCCTCTGGCTTTCCAAGAGGGCACTGATAACGACTGTATCCCTTCGTACCTAAGTAACTTGTAATAAACATTGTCTAGAACTCCACTGATAAAAGAATAGAAAGTACCAGGCCAGGTGCAGGTGAGCACCCTAGGAAAGTCTTAGGAGCTGCAGAGGAGAGGGTCTAAAGAGAGAAGGGTGAGAAGGGCCATATTTATCAGAGTAGAGCCTACAGAAAGCACGAGCAGGCAGCTGCACCAGAGCCCATGGGGTCCTCAAGAGGTCCACACTATGACTCAGCTCGGGACTCCCTAGACCTCAGCAGCACCGTTACGAATGTCTGCACCAGGCTTGCACACACGTGTACAAAACCAGGAGAAGAGAAACTCTTTTTTTAAAACCTAAACATATATCAGGGTGTCTGGGTGGCTCAGTGGGTTAAAGCCTCTGCCTTTGGCTCAGGTCATGATCTCAGCGTCCTGGGATCAGGCCCCACATCGGGCTCTCTGCTCAGCGGAGAGACTGCTTCCTCCTCTCTCTCTCTGCCTGCCTCTCTGTCTACTTGTAATCTCTCTCTGTCAAATAAATAAATAAAATCTAAAAAAAAAAAAAAAGGAAAGAAAGAAAGAAAAGAAAAACCTAAATATATTTCAGAGCTATTTAAAAAAATTTTTTTTCATTTTATTTTATTTTTCTTAGGGTTCCAAGATTCACTGTTTTTGCACCCCACCCAGTGCTCCATGCAATCTGTGCCCTCCTTAACACCCACCACCAGGCTCACCCAATCCTCCCCTCCAAAACCCTCAGTTTGTTTCTCAGACTCCACAGGCTCTCATGGTTTGTCTCCCCCAATTCCCCCCAATTCACTTTTCCTTTCCTTCTCCTTAAGTCCTCTGTGTTATTTCTTATGCTCCACAATTTTTTTTTTTAAGATTTTTGCTTATGTAATTTGAGAGAGAGAGCCAGAACAGAGGGAGAGGGGCAGAGGGAAAAGCAGGCTTCCCGCTGAGCAGGGAACCCCATGCAGGACTCGATCCCAGGATCTTGAAATCATGACCTGAGCCAAAAGCAAATGCTTAACCAATTAAGCCACCCAGGTTCTCCTAAAAAATGTTTTAAACATCCTAGGGGTGCCTGGGTGGCTCAGTGGGTTAAAGCCTCTGCCTTCAGCTCAGGTCATGATCTCAGGGTCCTGGAATCGAGCCCCGCATCAGGCTCTCTGCTCAGCGGGGAGCCTGCTTGTCCTCTCTCTGCCTGCCTCTCTGCCTACTTGTGATCGCTGTCTGTCCAATAAATAAATAAAATCATTTAAAAAAAAATCCTAGGGCTATTCATCCTTTATTGAATTTTCTTTTGAGTCACAGTGACCTGTCGAATTTCTGCAAGAAAGATGAGAGGAATTTTCATTTTGAGAGATTTCTTGGGTAGCTATAAAAAAATAAAAAAAAGAATAAGAAGAAAAGAAATAAAAGGCATGCTGACATAAGAAGAGAATGTATGTCTAGGTTTCGGGGGGGTCATCCTGGATATTTCTAGATGTGTATATAAATGTTCAAATTAACATAAGTAACCTAATTTATGTAACCCAAATTTTATCTCCCATCTCTCAAACAGAACAATCTTCCAAATTATATCCATTTTTGAAAAGATGCATATTTAATAAAACATCTGTTTCTGCCTTGGATTTGCTCCCAGCTTTAAACAATGTTCAAATTGTTTAATTTTTAGCATTATCAAAGCCGAGTGAAAAACAACGGAGAGACAAACTTCTCTTCAGAATGTAAAAAGCGTAACTTAAAATATATACTGTCAATTACAGTGTTACACAATTCTACTCCTCCTGAATCAACCCAAAATTCAGATGAATTCTCAAAGAATTCATTTCTTGCCCCACATGGCTAGGTTTGACCCAAACCTTTACAACGAAATTAAAACGTACTTGAGTCATCTATTCAGTAAGGAGTGGACACAAACAGCAGAGCACGCAAATTTATAGCTTTCGTGTAAGACATAAAATAATTAAGCTCCAAAATCCTTAGCATCCCTAAAATTTATCACTCTCAATTTTATAGGCATGGGCTAGAATGGGAAATCGGAAGCCTTTCTCTGATGCTGTCTTTTAAAAAAAATACAGAAGAAAAATTGTAAAAGTCTAGGAACATGCACACTAGCAAAAAAAAAAAAAAAGATAAAAACCTTCTAAAAATAAATCACATAAGTATATTGACTAATCCACACATTTTCAGTTAATCATGCTCGTTTATAAGCTCGATAATTGAGGAAGAGTGATGTTCCCTTAGGGGGAAGACAAACTTGCCGCTACAACTACATTAAATAAAGGATCAAAGATGTCCTCTCATACTCTCTCTGGCTCGGCGACATTTTCGAAGAAACGGAGACGGCCCATTTCTTAACGCTTGTCCTCAACAGCAACCTTTTATTTTCTCCTTCATTCAGTGAAAACCCACAGAGCGCCTGGCAACTACTCACTTCTCCAACAATCACCAACCAGCGCCTCCTCTGAGCCGAACTCGCCGAAACACACGTGTTTAAGGGAAGGCAGGAAAACATTAAAATACATCTAGGTGGGCAAAAAACAAAATGCCTTCCAATGTGATGGAGCTCCAAGAAGGACGTCACCAGTGGGTTAAATATGGAGACAGGAGAGCGTAACCCACATTACGTGGGAAGAGAGAAGGTAGGAAAAGGGGCACAGGCAATGCCCTGAGTCGGTACATGCTTAGTTGGAGCACAAAAGTGAAGGACGACTGGTATACCAGGAGGGTGGTAATCCCACAGTGCTATGGGGTCAAGCTGGGGAGGGGGGCACCAGGCTCGCTATGTAAAGTCAAATAGGTCAATAAAGAGAATTTGGGGTTGAGTCTAAGGGTCACATGTAGCCATCCCTTGTAAAACATTTCAGAGCAAGAGGAAGGAAGATCAAAGATAAATACTATAAAAAGCCTGCTTTATGATGTGCCTCTATTTTTAGGTATTTTACATGCTTCATGAACTTACTCGTCTTGCAAACACCTCTAGATGGAGGGACTCTCTTCATAACTCCCTTACGGGTAAAAAAACTGGAACATGAAAAAATCAACTTCAGGGGCACCTGAGCTGAAGGGCGTCTGCGTTCAGCTCAGGTCATGATCCCAGAATCCTGGGATCGAGCCCTGTGTCGGGCTCCCTGCTCAGTGGGAAGCCAGTTTCTCCCTCTCCCACGCCCCGTGCTTCTCTTCCCTCTATTGCTGTCTCTGTCTGTCAAATAAAAACAAAATCTTTAAAAACAAACAAAAGAAAAAATGAACTTCACATAGCTAGGAAATCAGACAGCCTGGCCTCTTTGGTAGAAAGTGATGAGCACTTTCTACCAGAGACAAGGGTCTGCATGCCAACGTTAGAGAAGAAAGAAAGTACAAGACAATCTTAGCCTCATGTGATGGAGAAGGTACACATATGTCTGAAATACTAGGGAAAAAAAGGTATGGTTCTCTCTCTCTGCCTCTGGTTCCTGGCCCAGAGTTCCTAAAACCCTTGGAATTCCCTAAGTGATAACAGCACTAAGAACATCTTTGTTCTAATAGTTGGTCTCTGGCCATGGTTCCTCGAAAAGAGCTCCTAAACCCCTTGGAATTTCCTGGGTAATAGGAGTGTCTTTTGTTCTAATGAGTCAACACTTGCTGGGCTCCCACATGGCTTCAAAATGGGGGCTGGTCACCAGGAAAACCATGTCACAGTTGGAAGTTTGGAACTTCCAGCCCCGCTCCATCCTCTGGAAACATGAAAGGGCTGGAGACCAAGTTAAAGATTGGTCATGGGTACCTGATGAAGTCTCCATCAAATATGAAAGGGACAGAGTTCAGGGAGGTTCTGGGGTTGGTGACCATATCCCATGGCTGGGATGGTGGCTCCCCCAACCCCCGGAGGACAGAAGCTCCCTTTCAGGACCCTCGCAGACCTCATCCTATGTATCTCTCCATCTGTATCAGTTATCTTGTCCTTTATTATAAGATTAACTAGAAGACATCAAGGAAATGTTTCCCTGAGTTCTGTGAGCTGTTCTAGCAAATGATGCAGCCCAAGGAGGGGGTTGTAGGAACCTCTGATTTATAGCTGATTAGAGAAAAGTTGTGAGTCACCTGGGGACCTACTGTTTGCAGTTGACATCTGCGGTCGAGACGGTCTTATGGGACTGAGCCCTTCACCGGTGGCAAAGGCACTGACTGCAGTTAGTGTCAAATTGAACTGAATTGTAGGACAACCTCCTACTGCCACAAAGAATGGCTCAGTGGGGGAGCGGGGTCCCCATACATTTGGTGACAGGAAGTATTGAGTGTGTGAGTAAAGGAGGAACGCAGGAGTTGAGGAGTGGTTTTCCCAACCGACATGGGAGAAGGGAATGTAACAGTCCCCAGGTTGAAGGACAGCCTGAGGACAGCAGAGCGAGAAGACCAGGAACAGGTTCGGTGAATCCCAGAGATGCTCAGGGAGGAGAGGTCAGGACGGACTTGAGGGTGGCTGGTTCAGGAGATGGCAGACCATGTGTGCTTGAGGACAGTTTCTGGACAGTCCTCTGATGCAACCTATCTTTTAGGAAGGTGGAGCAGGAAGAGGTTTAGAAATAGATGGGAGAGTGTGAACAGCCACAGATAGGATGGTAGTAAAGTAGCAGAAGTCGAGTGAGAACATGGCCATGGACAGTAGAGACGTATCACAGGGCAATAAAGAGAGACCTGGAAAATGATTTAGAGCAGGCAGACTGGACAGAGGGTGCAAACCGCAGGATGAGGGACTGAGTGCAGAAGATGCCTCCCCTTGGAAAACAAAACGCACGAAACGGAGCAAGCTTGGCAAGAAAGACAAAGGGCAGAACCTGGACACACTGCTGAGCTTTGACAGAGCACACAGACGAAGTTGTCCAAAAAGAAGCAACTGTGAGAGCAGGAGGCGGCTTGAGAGAGAAGTC